TGTTTAAAGATTTACGTGCAACATTAATTTTTTGAAAATACTGAAGTGTTCACTTTGAACTTGATACATGTCTTAAGGATCATCAGGCCCATAAACCATACATTAATTTTGACTTAGTTATAGCCCTTTGTTGGAATAATTCTATGATAGAATTGGTCATTTTGTACGTACAACGGCCTGTTAACATTTGAGAGGGACTTAGTCCTGGTTTATTTTATTGGGTAGGGACATTGCCCATGGACAGTAGATATCCTATAAGGATGTTTGAGGTCACGGGTCAGACAAACATGACACTTCATGTAAAATCATTGTCTGATGAATGATTTAGAAAGAATAAGCTGTAGTTTGTATAACCTAAAAAGATCAGTAGATGACATCTAATAATTTTTAGGCAATTTGGTCAGAAATCAGGGTCACAATGACGCTAAATCTTTGACCAATCAATAACTTAAACTTAGAAAATTTCTGTTTAAAGATTTACGTGCAACATTAATTTTTTGAAAATACTGAAGTGTTCACTTTGAACTTGATACATGTCTTAAGGATCATCAGGCCCATAAACCATACATTAATTTTGACTTAGTTATAGCCCTTTGTTGGAATAATTCTATGATAGAATTGGTCATTTTGTACGTACAACGGCCTGTTAACATTTGAGAGGGACTTAGTCCTGGTTTATTTTATTGGGTAGGGACATTGCCCATGGACAGTAGATATCCTATAAGGATGTTTGAGGTCACGGGTCAGACAAACATGACACTTCATGTAAAATCATTGTCTGATGAATGATTTAGAAAGAATAAGCTGTAGTTTATATAACCTAAAAAGATCAGTAGATGACATCTAATAATTTTTAGGCAATTTGGTCAGAAATCAGGGTCACAATGACGCTAAATCTTTGACCAATCAATAACTTGTATGAATGGTACTTTTACAGACAGGAGAAGTAGGGGCATCCTTGTTAGGAAAATTCATATAAATAGTGTAATTTGATTGGTTATTTATCTCGTTCGCACGACTTAACTTTCTCGTGGCCACCACTAAACTTTCTCGTGGCCACGACATAGTAACTTGTTCCAACAACTTATTCCTCTCGTGGCCACGACTTAGTCATCTCGTTCCCACGACTTATTTATTACTTTTACAGACAGGAGAAGTAGGGGCATCCTTGTTAGGAAAATTCATATAAATAGTGTAATTTGATTGGTTATTTATCTCGTTCGCACGACTTAACTTTCTCGTGGCCACCACTAAACTTTCTCGTGGCCACGACATAGTAACTTGTTCCAATGACTTATTCCTCTCGTGGCCACGACTTAGTCATCTCGTTCCCACGACTTATTTATCTAAGTAACTCGTGGCCACGACTAAGTAACTCGTGGCCACAATATAGTATCTCGTTCCCACGACTTAACTATCTCGTGGTCACGACTTAGTAACCCGTGGCCACGACATAGTATCTCGTACGCATGAGATAAATAAAAACACACAAATGTCACCTTTGTGCCACCGTAAGTTTGAGCATAGTATATCTTAAAATTCAATTTCACTATTGCTCATATACGACTGTCACACACGCTCAAAAAGAAATGTAAACAATTATATAAGAGGTGAGTTGCCACTTGTAGGATGAGTTATAAGAGAAATCTATAATATTTTTTTTCACATGCTGGCGGAATCTTCAAAAACACGCACTTTTCGTCTGTCGCATCGCGTTCTCTTGTTTTCCAGTAAATTTTCCCTTTACATGTCAGTCTCCAACTAACACTGTTCTGTATACGCCCCTGTATAAAGGGGACGTAACTTTGTTTTACTCCACGTGCCAAAATACGGGATCATCCGGAAAATAACGGAATGTACCGATAAAGCGACACCTGCTGTCATAATACGAACACAAATTATTGCAACTCGCATTATGCTTACTGCCAACTGCTTAGTGCGTACTGTCACATGCGACTATAATATCGCTATCGTTGTCATCTTCGTTGTCGATGCGCAGTGATCCTATATTGCATTATATTTGTAATCAGTGAATATATTGAAGCATATGAATGCTAAGACACATCAAATTCGCCAATTATTGATCAAAATTAATAATTTATTGTGACATAATGTCGACAATATAAGACAAATTAAAGGTACTGACAGAAACTAACCATGTGACATATAGTTATATCAAGAACAAGCAAAGAATGTTATCTTAAACACCAAACATAATACGTTGATCTTTATAAAAGATGCAATTAAACATATCGCATATTAAAATATGTGAGTTTGATGGTTTAGTAGGGAACACATAAGGTTGCAATTACATGAAAGTGCATTCAGTAATAATAAGGCATGATTGAATTCAGCAAAACGCAGGTTTTCATTGTCATAAAGAAGTATAGAAGCAAGCATAATGTAAGTCCCAATATCATAAAGCAAGATGGAATAAATGCACTAATTCTGTTCCATACTCAAAGCAGTGCTCAGTTTCTGTGCACTGCACTTCTTTTCAATAAGATCTATCATCCTATGAAGTTTCAAGTCTACTGCTTTTACAATTTATGAGAAATGGCCTGGACAAAAATAAAGTATGAAAATAAACAAAGGGCAATAACTCAAAAAATAAAGAATACAGAGTACTAGTTCTTGAGCACTGCACTTCTTCTTAATGAGATCTAACATCCTATGAAGTTTCAAGTCTATAGCTTTTATACATTAGGAGAAATAGCTCGGACAAAAATAAAGTATGAAAATTAACAAAAGGCAATAACTCAAAAATCAAGAAGTGCAGAGTACTGGTTCTTGTGCACTGCACTTTTGGTCATTATAAGAAGCATGCATACCAAGTCTGAAGTCAATCCGACTTTAAATGACTGACTTATGATCCGGACAAGCTTAAGGGCCCGGACACCGACAACAGCGCCGACACCGCCACCAAGTAACCCCTACACGTACCCTTTTTCAAGGCGACACAAAAAACTGAAGGCCTCTTTAAAATCCACTGATGGTTGGCTTCCTAAAGATATAGGTTCATGATAGGTTTCAACACAAACTAAATATTTGATAAATCAAGCAATAAATGAAAGTGCTATGAGAAATGATATGCAAGAGTGATGCAACATGTGAAAGATTGATAGAAGGAGAATGCTGCATACAAGTAAGCTCCACCCAGAAATATTGCAGAACAAAACTAGAAATGTGTCGTCATGCCACGGATGCCCCTGCATGCAGCCAAAACTTCAGATGTTATAATATTTAGTTCCAAAATTGTTTGCACAAATTATTTTTTTCCAGACACTGAAACTTTTCAGTGTTAACCTTTTGTAAATTGCATATTGCATATTTCTAGCCAAATTAATGTCTACATACATATCCACAAAAGTATGAGTGATGAAACTGAAAATTCAAAATTTTTCCAACATTCAACATGTAACTTTGTGCAAAATCATTGAACCACGACCAAATTCAAACTTGAACTGCTTATTCCTAAGATGTATCTATATGTCAAATTTGAGTTGAATGTGTACAACCATTGGGAAGATAATGAACTGAAACTTAAAATTTCTGATTTTTTTTCAAAGTTTAAGAGGGATAACTCTGTCAGCTATCATCAAACCATGACCAAATTGGAAATTGACCAATGCATTCTTCTGAGATATCTATATCTTTTATTTGAGTTGAATATGTACAACTGTTGGGGGAGATTAATGAATGGAAACTGAAAATTTCATATTATTTTCAAAGTTAAAGGGCATAACTCTGCCAAAAATCATTGAACCATGACCAAATTTGATCTTGACCTGTGCATTCCTTTGAAGTATCACATGTCAAATTTGAGTTGAATGTGTAATACTGTTGGGGAGATAATCAACGGTAACTGAAAATTTTATATTATTTTCAAAGTAAAAGGGGCATAACTCTGCCAAGAATCATGGAACCATGGCCAAATTTGAACTTGCCCTGTATTTTTTCATGACATATCCATATGTCAAATTTGAGTTGAATGTGTAATACCTTTTGGGAGATAATGAACGGAAACTGAAAATTTCATATTATTTTCAAAGTAAAAGGGGCATAACTCTGCCAAAAATCATTGAACCATGACCAAATTTGAAATTGACCTGTATTTTCTCATGACATATCCATATGTCAAATTTGAGTTGAATGTGTGCAACCCTTCCTAAGATAATGAATGGAAACTGATGATGATGGAATGACAGAAGGATGTAAGGAAGGAATGACGAAAGGACGGAACAGGGTAACACTATATGCCCCGGCCATTATATGGAGGGGGCATAAAAATACATAACAGCTAGGCATAACATTATCTAGGTGATGTAAAAACATGGGATATATTAATATAGTAAGGATTCTTTGGCACTGCACTTTCTTTTCCAAATATCTATTACTGTGTGAAGTTTTGATCAATATCTTTCACAATCATAATTTAATAATATAAAGTGAGATAATCAACATAATAAGCAATGACGAGTTTTGTTTCTTTGTCACAGCACTTCCTCTCTCTAGTCTCTACAAATGTATGTCATTTAAATGAGACATCACTGATAGTTTAGATCAGAACTGAGAAGTTATACTCCTAACAATCATTTTCAACTTAAGGGAGATAATAAATAAATTAAGCATGATGGAGTTATGATTCTTGGACATTGCACTATCTTTTTATGACCTCTATGGTTGTGTGAAGTTTAAATAGAAATAGAAATAGTTATTCTCCTGACAAGAGTGTGACAGACCACCAAACTAACATTTGGATATATTAATTTACTTAGGTGGCTGTTCTCCCAATTGTTTATAGCCACAGAAGAAATTTAACGGTATATTTGCAAAAGGGGAAGAAAAAACTTGATGTAAATTCAATTTTTGAGGAAAACTGAATGACTATAAAAAAATTTCTTTGGGGAAGACCCTTGCTATAGAAGGAAAAAAAAAACCTATGTGGTGACTAAATGCTTTCCTTCTGGGAGGGAGTATAGAAAACACAAATAACTTACTATGTTTTGACTGGAGATCACTTGTTCCCATCGCAACACTAGTTTCATAGCTCATATCCTTGCTATTATCTAACATGGTAGACATCCCATCTGGCAAGCTTTCATCTTGTATAAAACCACTTTGAGGCAGCTCCATGCCTGTGATCTTTAAGTCTGTCTCGGAATCAGTACTACACTCTTGTTTAATGTTCAGAGTACCATCGCTGCCAATGTTTAAATTACTCGTTTCATTCTGAGACTGTTCAGAATATGTATCTATTGAAGGCACATGTTCATTTATACTTGAACTCTCTGTATACGATGCTGATCGAACTTGGTTATCTTCTGCTTCAGAGGTCACAACAGTTTCAGACACTTGTGGCAAAGATTGTTGCGAGTCCATTGAACCTACATGTAGATTAGCACCAAGTTTACCGTAAAAAAATTTGATTCAGGTTCATTTTGTTTATAATGTTTGTTTACGAATCATTATCATGTAAACCTGGAGACTATGCGGGAGTCATCTCTAAAATTGACCGATTTCTCTCGGCCCTATTTTTCTTATACGGTCATGTCTCAATCTCTATAGATCTATCCTCTTTGAGCTGTAACACATCTCCGAGGAAATTAGTCCGGTATTCTGGTAATGCAGCACAGTACTCCATGTTTGTAGATTCCCGTATACATCTTTCGTCTGAAATTTTGCTCCCTGCTTTTCATGTGAAGCCCTAGAAAATCATCATTTCTACATGTATTTTTTCATATTATATAAGATTCATTCCAGCTATCATACAAAACATTGGTAATTGTACTACAAGTGCCCACTCTCTGCCTGAATAAAGAACACTGAGGGCACCTGTGGTCTTTTCTGGCGTTGACAGCTTGAAAGTTACCATTTGACCATTACAGTGCCACAGTGTCTTATAAACCCGCATTGAAAGTTGTCATATGACCGTAACTATTTTTATAATACCCACTATAAAATGTCCACAAGACATGGATGCCTGCACATTCCACTGTTTTGTCTAGTTATGGACTGTCAGGGTGTCAGAGATCTGATGGACAAGGTCAAATCTATATGCCTCTCTAAGCAGGGGCATAAGAAATGCACGTGTTTGTATTGGGTTTTAAAACCTGCTTAATACAACCTGTCCATGACATCTCTCCAGCTATGCCCGCAGAATAAGACATACAAAGCACTTTTTTGTGCACTTTTCAACCTTTTCAGTAGAACCACTGACACTTGTTAACCTGTTATCTGCTGTTACTAACATGAAAAGCCTAGAGGTGTCCAAATATTTTCAATAACTACATGTATAAATATGGAATAATATCATGTAATAGCTTTCAGAGGCTTTGTATTTTGCAGTGTTAAAAAATAGATATCTAACTAGACGAAATGTTGAGCGGGATATAAATTTTCCCACTTTGCAAGTAGCAAAATCCAAAGTCTCAGAAAGCTTCTACAATATAATTATCATTTTATCAAATAGTCTATATGTTTTAAGACAAAAATAGTTGCAATATAATTAACTTTTATAAGTTATTTCAGAAACTGAAACACAGCAGTCAAGAGATAATATTCACAAATGATAGACATGAATTTTTTGCAAATGTAGCCACACCTTCAGTTGCTTTGGTTCCTCCTTGCCAATGCTAAATGCCTTGTAATACACATTTACGATGAGAACCAAAATGAAAAGTAGTACAGCATTCCATATATGGTACCCTACAATTATTTGTTATTAACATAATACTGATTTTCCTATCCATTAAAGAGTATTCGTGCTTCACGATTTGCATATATTTTACTAAGAAAATTTATATGTAAATAGTAAATTATCTTATAATTTGGCTGCTGCCCATATTGTAACATTCCCACAAAATTTGTGTCTGCTGCAAAAAAGCATGTAAATCATGCTTAAAGAATCTGATAAATACTTACTTTTCAAGCAAAATCCTAAAAATTGTGACTTAAATTCGTCATGACTGTCGAGAAACAACCTGCCCAACTCAGAGCCATGGTAACTAATCGAGCCATCTGATAGGTTAGCACTGAGAACTACAGTCTCTTCTTCTGTCTCACTTGAAATCTGTTCAACCTTATCAATACAAAATAAAACATACATTAGATAGAGGATAATAAACGAGTGTAAATTCAATACTTATAACTCAATTTATTGAACGAGTTGTATATAATTATAATATTCATATATAATGCAAGCCTCCAGCATGCATTATATTAAATCATTCAACAAGTTCAATAAATTAAGTAATGAAAATACATGAATATAATATTTTGTTTATCATATAATCGACATAAGAAAGTTTACAGTGAAAAAAGTCCTTTTAAGTTGTTAAGTAATAATTTATTATAATATGCGAGCATCTGTCAAGCATAGAATTATTTCATTCAAAAATTTCAATTAATCAACTCAAGTAATGAATTTACATGATTATACTATATAAAATATACATGAAGTATTATATTAATCACATAACCAACATACATGTAAAATTTGTTTGCAGGGAAAATAATCATTCTTTGTTAAAGGGAGACACAGGCAAAATTTTCATTTCTAAGTTTTGAATTTTTTGTTCCTAATTCTGTAAATGCCCTCAAAATAAATATATTAGACAGTCAAAGGAACAAAACTTTTCTCCATATAAAGAATAAAATGCCAGTTTCCTAACCTGACCCGCGTGGGTCAGGTTAGAGCGCTAGGATTTCACAATAGTTGTCACAGTTGAACTCGGAAACGTTAAAGAACATTCAAATGAATGATTTAGGTTTGTTTTCAATCAATACATATCCACAGTATCTGTTCATGTAACTTCAAAGATTTGTTCAAGTCACCTGACTTTTTAAAAATTATTCGGTGATTCTATTGGCGTCTAAATTTTGTTCAACATATATAGATATATTTTTGCTTCAAATCCAAAATATATAGAATTTAAACAGAAATTTATGCTGAAACTTTTAGAAATGTCATTTTAGCGCTAGTTGAGTACAAAAGATCATTTAAATATTTTTGTCATTATTTTGCCTGAATATCCCTTTAATGATTTAGAAAATTGTTGTAACTTACATGTACTATGCCAGTGTAAATTCAATTATGAATTTCTTGAATGAGTTGTTTAAAATTATATTATGAGAGCCCCTGGCTAGCATTATATTATTTTATTCAACAAGTTCAATAAATCAAGTTTTTTTGTTTTGTTTTGGGTTTTACATCACATTGACACAGTATAGGTCATATCGCAATGTTCCAGCTTTACTGGTGGAGGAAGACCTCAGGTGGACTTCCATGCATTATTTCAGGCACGAACGGGCACCTGAGTAGAACCACCCAGGTTCCGTAAGCCAGCTGGATAGCTTCCTCACATGAAAGAATCCAAAGTCCCTGTTGGGATTCGAACCCACAGTGGTGAGCCTGAGCATCTACACAGTCTGATCAGGACCCATGCTGTTCGCTATCAGTTTTAATACTTGTTATAGGGTTTGTAAGCGAACAAATGGATCCCGATCAGACTGCGCGGATGCCCAGGCTGGTCTGTATCCTTGATGTTCGCAAACCCATTATGTTGGTTTTGTTGTGATGCAGCTCATATTTGTTTTCAACTGCATCATAAACATCACAAGAATGGCCAAAAACCACTGTTATATATCTATAAATATTAAACGGAAACTATCAATAGTGTTCAATTTATAAAAAGAGTGAGGCAGTCTTTTTATATTTTAGACATTTTAATAAATAAATAGCCTTAAGTGGCCTCTTTATAAAAACATACCAGTTGTTGTATTTGACTCTTCAAGACTGCCTTTAAAATAACTTTGTATCCAGGAATTTCTTTTATCACTTCAAGGTCGGGCACCTTCATTTTTACGTTCTGAAATACAAATTTACAATAATATGATATCTAGAATCTTAACCTATAATACATAATTGTAATGATCCTGAGAAAATGACAATGGGGAGTGGTGGCCTAGTGGTAAAAATGTCTGCCACTCAACAGTCAATATAGGGATCATGGGTTTGATTCCTACTTAAGTCACCACCATGTTTCTTTATATGACACTGGTCAGTACTGGTTAATTCCAGGATGAAAAATCAAAAGTGATTAATTAATATTAATTAAAAAATCAAATGTAATTAAATATCTCTGACTGTCGCTTCTCATTCTAACTTACTACAACATGACTTACACCAACTTGAACAATGGGAAACAAAATGGGACATGCAATTTAATCCATCAAAATGCCAGGTTATCCAAATCACAAAACGAAAAACAGTCATTCCAACAAAATACCTTCTACATAACACCACATTAGAAACAGTTCCATCTGCAAAATACCTTGGCATTACAATATCAAATGATTTAACATGGAACAACACATAAACAACATCACAACAAAGGCGAATCAAGCACTTGGTTTTCTTGCGCCGAAACATCAAGGTTCACTCAGAAAGGTTAAAGTCAACCGCATACAAGACACTTGTCAGACCCCAGCTTTGAGTACAGCTCCACGGTCTGTTCCCCCTACACAGGAACTCTCATTGACAAGATAGAGTCAGTCCAGAGAAGGGCTGCTAGGTGGGTCAAACATGACTTTGGCCGTATGTCAAGTGTCACTGACATGTTGACTTCCCTTCAATGGAGGCGTCTTGACCTTCGGCATATTGACCAACGCCTGGTCATGTTTCACAACATCCTGCATGACCATGTGGCTATTCCTTTCCCAAAGTATATCGTCCCTCTTACAAGATCATCTAGAACATCCCATCTCCATGCATTCCAACAAGTCCAAACTAAAACTGATTACTATAAATATTCATTTTTTCCAAGAACAATGTCACTGGAATGCTTTAAACCACCTGAAATCATAAACTTGTTCTGGCCCCGAGTTCAGTCTGGCTGTAAGCCGGATTGAACATACGTCTCCCTAAAATACCTTTCTGTTTTTTAAACTGTTTTTAACAATATACTCATTTCCTTTACTTTTATATTCTTTTATTTCAGCTCTTTTACTAACATTCTTGTCAGTTGACGCGCGTCAAGTCTAGGTCCCCAGCAGGGGTTTGACTATATGGAAGATAGATAGATAGAATATAAGTTGCAAAACACCTTTCTGGGTGGCCATGATCCATGTGACATGTCATCCTCGCATAAATGAAAAGCTTTTAGTTTCTGGTGGTGTGGAGTATAAGCCAGATAAGAAAAGTTTTACCTTGGTTCGATAGATAACTTATTAGACTACATATTGCATTTTTAAATTTCCTTTCTATTTATGCTGTAAGGCTATCATATAAAAAAAAACAGTGAGGCGAAAACTCAGATTGGGCATAGACACATTCTTTTGGGAGTTGTTAACCTTGTCTATATAATATATTAGTTTATATTGTAATGGAAATGTATTTAGATTTCATTTCTGACT